ATAAAAAAAATACTTATCAATAATGGGTATGTATCCTAATTATACAGTCAACAAGCAAATCAAATTTCATTTAAATGACAACAATTTTAAGAATAAAAACCATAATCATAAAAATAATATTGACAATAATACTATTAACACAAAAAAACAAGCTAGCAATAAAAACATCGTACATAGATATAAAACCAGTTGATAAAAATAAATACATCAGATTCATTATTTACTACAAAAAATTAAAAACTACCAACTTGGTTATTAAAAATAATATATCCCAAACTTCCCCTCCCCCATAAGATCAATGTTGTATATGAATATACTTTCCCACTGAATGTTTCTCTGTAATTAAAAAAAAAACTTAAATTTCTTACATAAGATATAGCACAACCGCACTCTCATGGAGACTCACCTGCCACCAAGTGAACCAGAGTCCCATCAGACAACATATTAATAAATAGCATAAGGATCATAGTAACATTAACATTCAAATCCCCCCCCCCCCAATTTCTATCACTTGTATATCCTTGTTTGATCCTGCTTCTAATGCTCTGGAGTGAGTGACTTCAGGAAAAAAGACATGGCTTGTATCACATATACTTGGATGAGTATCACCATGGAATTTAGTGAGTAGAAGCACTATATCAAGTCTAGGCAGTATCTTCTTTGTCACTGAGGCCTGTTGGTCCAGTGGCATGGTGCTTGTGTTTTATTGTGATAGTCTGGGTTCGATTCTTGGTAGTGGATGCACACTGCTGATGAATCCCAAATAGGACAAAATAGTCATCCAGTGCTTTCTGCATCCTGTTGAGGATTTTTCATATATATATATATATATATATATAAAGAAATATAGTCTTAAGGTGTGCTGTATTTATGGGATAAAGTGCTCAATATCAGAGATAGAGCATGTGTAAATATAAAAATGAACATTGAAGTCAACACTTAGAGGTACCAGTCTGTTTCATGCTAGACACAATCGGTTGACTTCAATGTTCACTTATAATTTATATTGTTCGAACTGTTGTCCTCATCTTTATTGTCATATTCACTACAATCCTCAACAGAATGCAGAAAGCACTGGGTGACCATTTTGATGACTATTTGGGATTCATCAGCAGTGTGCATCTGATACCACGAATCGAACAAGGATGCATGACTTGATGGAATCTCTTAAGATCCATCCACTTGGTCGTCCAATAGTTTCTGGTATAGGAACCCTTACACAACACATTTCTGGTTACATTGACCCAATGCTCAAACCTCTACTACTCTCTATTCCTAGCTATATCAAAGACACTACCCATTTCCAAAGAATCAGGAAGAACAATGCACTCTTTGTGACCATGGATGTGTTATCCTTATATTCTAACATCCCACACAAAGAGGGAATACTAGCTTGCAAAAATTTTTTAATCACCAGTTGCTTCCACAAGCACTATATACAAGAGATATCCAACATTATACCTTTCATACTCACACTCAACAACTTCAAGTTCAGCAGGCACCATTTTCTTCAAGGTAGAGGCACAGTGATGGGAACGAAAATGGCCACCAGCTATGCTAACATTTTCATCGATGACCTTGAACAAGATATGTTTAGTAGATACCACCTAGAACCCCTGTACTATCACAGATACATAGATGACATCTTTTTCATATGAACACAGAGAGAACAATCTCCTAGACCTTAAAGTGTCCTGGGTATGGCGATGAACTACATCTGTGTCCAGGGTAAGATGATAAACTATGTCCAGCAGCAAGGCCTCTGATCAGGAGGCTTTGAGGGGCGTGGAACCTCCTCTTAATTGCTGGTGTTCCCAGGTTCATCCTGACCTGGAGTGGTAGCACCTGTTAGGGTCCCAGCTATGGGCAAATAGTTAACCAAGAAACTGAGGTAAAAGGCATTATAAAAGTGTAAAAATAGGTTTTAATACCAGAAATACTTTGTAAAAAAAATTATTACCAGAAAAAAATTTTTGAGGAAAAAAACTACTACCAGCAATATGTTTTTGAAAAAAATATTACCAGCAATACATTTTTGAGGAAAAAAATATTCATAGAAATAGATTTTTGACAAAACAAAAATATTACCAGGAAAAAAAAAAGAAAAGTTGTTCGCATTAAATGACCCATTGAGGTTGATATGCCGTAAACGAAACCAAACCAAACCTAGACCTTAAAATCCACCTTAATTGTTTCCACCACACTATCAAATTTACTATGGAATATTTTACCACTTCCATTCCATTTCTAGATACACTGGTACGTCTCAACAATAACTACATTTCCACTACACTATACATCAAACCTACTGATGGTCACTGCTAGCCCAATTTAAATAGATGTCACTCCACCAACCTAAAAAATTCTATAATCTACAGCCAATGCTTGTGCATAAAATGCATCTGTTCACATAAGGAAGATTACAACACATAGGACAACTTTGCAATCACTTTCTTAATAGGAATTACCTACTTAAAACACTCAAACAATCACCAAGACGTTCAAACATGAAAAACATTTCTCCTTACATATGAAACTAAAAAAAATAATTCCAGAATCTTCATGGTCTTTTTATTTTTTTAATAAACATCCACAAACTTTCCCACACCTTAACCAAAGATTTCTAGCAGATCAGAGTTGAAATTCATCCTAAAAGTAAACTCTCACATTGAGAGACTAAACAGGGTTTTGTGTTTACTCAGAGAGTACAATTGCCACAGGGAGACCTAATATCAACAACACCATTCCTCAGATGAGTAAGTCCCACACCCAATTTTTTCCCTTTAATTTTAATAGCCCTCACCCCACCTACCTACTATATTTTATGTTCTATTACCTATGCTTTCACTTTCTAACCTCCTTGATTGGAATCACCTACCTTATACCATCATAAAATCTATCACTAAGGCTAATGAAAGGGGAAGGTTACTGAAGATACATTTAATTTTGTACATGTATTTATATCTATGTGTATGTTGGTATATATGTTTTTTTTGTGGGGGGGGGTTGTGTGTATATACATCCAGTTATGCATACATATGTATGCATGTGCATTTTTATTTATTTCATATATTTTAGTTTTATTTCATTTCATTTTATTATTATATATTCCCTTTTTCCTCTTTTCTTTCTTCCCCTTTTCATCACAATGTATTTTATCCATAATTCCCTGCCTTTCAACACTCAACCATGTGATCAGTCTATTTTTTCTACAACTTGCTACACTCTGCGTCTTTCCCCCTCCCCAACCTAGAACTCTCTTCATCAGTGTTTACAATCTCTCCCCTCCCCCACAACTATATACTAGTAACAATTGATCTGCCTAGCATTTTTACAGAGAGCAAAATTTAAGTTTATTTTGATAAAAAGTTTCACACATCAAGTGATTAGACAGGGAAAACTGGCTTTGCTCATAATAGAATTTCCACTGGAAAATACCTTTTCTACAAAAACATCTTTCAGGTGAGGAATTCAAATTTCTCTGTTTGTTCCTCTGATTGTTATTAAAGGACACAGGCATGTCCGAAAATTCTGATGTTAAAACTTTTCTTTCAGTGCTTCATTTCTGTAAAAAATTTAATAAATATTTATTGTACTGACTATATTGGTATCTTTTCATTTGTCCTTTATTTTATTAACCAACCTATTTTCTCTCTCTCAACATATATATATATATATATATAATCAATCTCTCTCTCTCTCTCTCTATATATCTATATATATATATATATATATATATATATATATATATATATATATACACACAGGCATACAAACACACAACTGTTTTCTCAAATCAATGAATGAATCCTTCAGGTCTTGAAGACAATCCCTCATCAGACCCTATAGAATGGTGCTACACAATCATAAAGAGCTTTACCAAATAATAAAACCCACATCACTTGAAGACTTAGCACTGCATTCTTTAAGTCAAAATTATTATCAGACCAATTAGAATGAATAACTAATGCATTGGAACATAATATTTTGTAAAAGATCCCTTAATTAAAAGTGTTTAAAATGGCTTTAAATAAATGAATCCATTAGGTCTTAAAGAGCACAATCCCTATATATAGTCCTATAGAATGGTGCTATACAATCACAAAGCACTTGACCAAATAATAAAATCCATGTCACTTGAAAACTTTTAACAGCAACAAAACTGGGAAGTACATGTAAGTAGAAGGGAAAATATTGATTTTTCCACACAGCATAAAACAAAAGGTTTGCAAGAAAATTCCCATCAATACAAGAAAGAGTAATAACAAAGGACTAATATTCTTGAAAATGTTTCTTGTATGGAAATGTATACTTTTCATTATTACCATTAAGTTTTCAAGGAAACTTGTTTTTTTGTACTCTTTCCAAAATACCCCTTATATAACTTTGAGCATTCTTATATATGGTTCATGAAGCTTATCACTCTTCTTTGTTAAAGTTCAGCTTTTCCACACACTGTGACCTCCAAAAAACTTATTTTCAGGGTGTTTTGAAGATTCAACTTTCCATTTTGTTTAGTGTGCACCAGGCTTTCCCAATTCTGATCTACATGTCTTTTTCACTTGACTGAATCTAAGCAGAGCCCACTTGAAATCATCTACTTACTTCAGCTTATTTCCTTCGAATGTGATAATTTCACCTTCTGGCTGATTGTATAACATATACTCAGTTTTCTTGCAAATGTACATGTAATCTTGTCACTTTTGTTGTAACCTCTAATCAGAGAAGTTGTACTTGTTCTAAGTAGTTTGAAATTAATGCAAGATTGTCTGCAAATTTGGTATCCATGATGTATGTATCCGGGTGGTAGGAGCTCTGACATGTTGTTAGGGTTGTTGATTCTTAAAGTGCATAATCCAGAGCTAGGATGAATAAGAATGGATACCTTAGAGAACACCTGTAAGTAATTAGTTTGAATAAATCAAAGTTTTTTTTTTCTCTGTCTTTCACAAATTATATTTTGGTATATTTCAGCTGGTACCAAATTGGAAAATGTCCATATGGTACCTTCCACTCATTCTGAGAAGAAAGAGAATGTTGAGCGGGTCTTACAGTTTATGTCGACCAACCACATACGAATGCATCCAATGAAAGCCAGTGGTAAGTACTTCATATTTACTTAGTTTAGTATTGAACAAAGTCAGATTGCTGGGGGTGGGGATAAAAATCATCTTAATGGGGAGGGCTTGCTTATATTGAAATTTATTATTTTAAATCTTGGTTTTTACCTGGGCTTGAACACTGCTGGTGCTAGTAGAAAATACAGAACTAGTCCAGTCAAAAAGTAGGTCAGTGACAAGTACTTATTGTAAATTGTGAAGATTTGTTTTCTGAAATCCAGCAATTTTTAGACAACATGAAACCTTTTAGCATTTTAAATTGTCTAAAGAAATAAGAAAAAATTTTTCTTTACTTTTTCCCACAAAAGTCTTGGATTTTTTAAAGTTTAATTTAAAAAAAAAAAATCCAAACTAAATTTTCTGTGATTCAAAGAACATAACCAAAAATCCTTGAAAAAATATTATTAGATTGATTTTCAAAAAAGCAATTCCATTATTTTTCTATCAATGTCTTCATATTTTCATTTATTTATTGGCTTGTCTGATTCTTACCCATTCAATAACCAAAGTTAATCATTGTCCAGTCAGTACTTAGATGGGGGACCCCTGGGGATACTGGATAATGTAAGCAACCTCCTACAATCCAAAATACATTTTGACGTTAAATACCCCAGAAATACTTGATATTGTCTAATTCACACTTTATTTCTTTGAGTTTATCAACAAAACTTTTTTCTTGTACTGATTGTATGCCATTGCTTCTTTCACCATTCTTTACCATTTCCACATTTTGTTCAATGTGGAAAGACCCCCTCCCCCAATCAACCACCACCATTGTTTGACCAAACAACACCACCACCACAACAGCCACTTCTCATTTATTTAACATCAGTAATATTAAAAGAGTCAATGTTTTGTTACTCATTTTAAGGTGCAAATTTGCTTGGTAGTAAGTTTTTTTCTACTGACAACATTTGATGTTCAAGATTAAATAAGGATTCAAGTTTAGCTTCTTATAACATGGCTGAGTGGAGAGGAGAAAGTTAGGAGTAGAAAGGTTGTTATACCAACACGTTTATAAGTCTACTATTCACCCATGCATTGAATATTGCTTTTACATCTGGTCTGGTGCTTCTGCTAAATATTTAGAAATTCTTGATGAAATACAAAGTATCTGCAATGTTATTGGTCCTGACCTGGCATCTTGGCTTCAGTCACTTTTCCCTAGATTGGTGGCAATGTCTCATCATCTTAGAGTTGAATTGGCTAGATGTAACAATCTTTCACTCATTGATTTCGTTCATTTCTCTACTATTTTGACTTTAACATTAGTTGCAGCAATTTTTATTTCTTCATGGAGATCTTTGCTTGATTTTTTTTTTTTTTTTTCTCATAAACAGTTGATTGAAAAAGTATTCACACTACATAAAAATATTTTTTTTTATTGTCAAAGTTACTAATTTTGTTAAATAATAAATTAGAGAAATTACAAACATTAATGTACAGGTCAATTTTATAAAAAAGTGAAAATATTGATTTTTTTTCTTTTCTTTTTTTGTTTGTTATAGTGTTGTAAACCAACTTTATACAGTACAGTCAGTACTTTCTTAGCAGTTCCTTTTGCAACAATAATAGTTTTCAATCCCTTTGGATAGCCTGTGACAATTCTTTTCTTTTAATATTCCCTAGAAATTTGAGACTCTTTTTGTAATATTGATTCAGCTGTGTCAGGTTTATTGATAACCTTCAGTGGACAGCATATTTTCAGATCATTTCAGAGGCTTCCTCTGAGATTCAAATCCAGATTATAATTTGGTCAGTTTATATTAGGTACCTCCAAAAATTTTCTAAAAAGAGGATAGCATGATGAGAAAGGGCCACAAACTTGATAAAAACAAAGCTTTATTATCCAAATGTTTGTTATTATTAAGAAAGACCAAAATATTTTTTGATTATTTAAATTTTTTTAATCCTTTCCAGCACATTCAAAATTTTAGGTAAAAATTTTGTTTTCCTTGTGTCAGTGGGTGGGCCAAAAATTAGCTTCTTTTTTTTTTTTTTTTTTTTTTTTTTTTTTTTGTCAATGCTTCAGGATTTATTCATAAATGAATGAAATTATTTATTTTTTTAATTTAAAAATTTTTTTTTTTTTTTTTTTTTTTTAGAAAATCTTGCTAAAAATGTTTTCTTTAACATCTGTTACACCCACTTACTTAATTTTATGAAATTTTGACAAATTAAAATTCCACTCTCTTCATATTTATATTAGCTAAAAGTAAGGACTATTTGTAGAATTTATATGCAAATACATTTTTTTAAAATGTCATCAAATACCAATATTTTTAAAAGAATTTTTTTTTTTTGTATGTGTATAAATATGCCAATTTTTGTAGATAGGATCATCCATATATATTAGTAGAAAATAAAGATGATAACTATAGTAAATTTAGAGCCAGAAAGTACCTGAAATTCAATAAAACATTAGATTATGGAGAATATTTTCATAAATTTTTAAGATTACTGAGTACTTAAAAATGATATATAAAAGGTGCTTATGTTATATTCAATTTTTTCCGGTTAAAGCTTCCATAGAAAACATTAGATAAACATCAATCTGTCATCAGGTTGTCAAACATGTGAATAGCTTAAATAAACAGCAACCACTGTGTTAAAAAATGTATTTCTGCAATATTTTAAACTTAAAGTAAATAAGTTTATTTCAATTCATATTAACTATATTTTAAATCGGCTAACATTCCTCAAAGTTTCAGAAAAATATATTTTATCTTTGTAAGATTTTTTTCATAAAAATAATTACATTGGGATAAACACAGGCTAAAAAAGGGGCACTAATCAGCTATTTTAGAAAAAAAAAATCCTTCCGCTCAATTTAAATTAGTTTTGAAATAGAGCAAAATATTTTGCTTTTTAGAAATATTAAATTGAATCTCTTAGTCTGAAATTAAAACTAAAATAAAACCTTCAAGAAAGATTTTTCATTTTTAAAAATTAATTTTAATCCTTAAGTATTGAGTTTTCTGTGGTGGTACCTAGTTTAAAGCTTTCATGTTTTTTTGCTTCCAAAATTATTCTTCACTTTGAGATGTGTTCTTGGGATTGTTGGCCTGCTGAAAAATGAACTTCAAGCTTCTTGTAGACTTGAAGATGTTTTCCTTCCAAATTTTTATGTATTTGGCACATGGACAAGTTCCCCAGGGCTAGAAGAAGAGAAACAGCTCCATAACAATATGCTACCCACTCTATTTTTTTTATAGTTGGCATGGTGGGGGCTGGATCATTAGCTGTGTAACACTACTTGTTGGGATTCAGTCCAAAAAGTTCTATTTTTGCTTCATCTGACCTAATAACAACTTTCTCCCCACATAGCTGAAGAGTCTTTTAGATGTTTAGTAACATACTCGAGATGACCTTTAAGATGGATTCCCTTCAAAAGTGCTTTCTTTCTTGCAACAGGCCCATGAAGACATTCCTTGTCCAAACAGTCAGGTCATCTGATTTGTGCACAATAACACCAGAGAATGATAGACAGATTTCTTACTGTTTTTGAGTGACAGAAGTGTTGACTTTGACTTACCTGACCAATTTAGATTTGGTTGTTGCTGTCATCTAAGATTTACAATGGTACCATGAACTTTCCTGTTCTTGAAAACAGACACTATAGTACGTTTTGGTACCTTTAATGAACTGGTGACAAATTTATAACTTTCTCCATCTTTCTTTCTCATGTATATTTTGCAAAACATGTAGCAATCGTGAAGTCTAAATAGTTATCATAGATAACTCACAGTTGCTACATGTTTAGTTTAACTGACAAACAGTTTGATTGTAGACAGCAGAGTAATAACCACTATTTATAGGAAGAAACCACTGTAAGTTTCACCCAAGACAAATCAAGCCTGAGTGGATAACTATCTGTAACCAATTTGAAGTTACAGTTTGTTATGAAACCGGATTAGATCTCTTTTTTATATGGGTATGACTATATAATGTTTAGCCACATTATTTAGTAATATCTAGTTAAAAAGCATGCAATTGTCTAATTTTTCTTTTTACTTAAGCATGATAGTTTTTTTCCTTTCATGTTTTTAGCCAATTCTTAATATTATACATCTTTGTTTACATTCACAAGACTAACGTCTTCAGATATCATTTTACTGTTGAAGCTACTTTTCTTACTTATTTAGCCCTAATTTTTCTCAAATCTTTTTCTGATTTTATTAAAGCTATTTTTTGTTTTTTATCTTTTCAAAGCTTTCAGGTTTCATTTTAGGTTGCTCCCTGATCTCAATTTCAATTTTTCACAATTTCCAAATTGGTTTCTTGTCATTCAGTAACAGATTTTTCTTAAAACTCATGTCAATCTTTTAAAATTTGAAATTAAAAAAAAATATTATCTATGCTACTATATAACTTACAATATGATGAAGAACCATTTAAGATTTATAATAAAATCTCACACTACCAAATAATTTATTGTAAAGATTTTTAATAAAAAACAAATCTTATAAGATGGAAATTGCATGGCATATTTATCATATATGAGGATTGATCAAAAGTAATGTCCCTTTTTCTTTGACTGCAATAGATTTGATAATAGAAGCCCACAAAGTATGTCAAAATGAACAAGAAAGTTTCAAGAATTCAAATTTAGTCTCCAACATGGTCACCTTTTTTCTCAGTTATAGTATTTGATCTTTGACAGCATGGATCCTGGCTAATCAAAGATTTTTACTTGCTTTCTTAACCATGTGCAACTTGATTATTTGACCCCATCATGATTATAGAACCACTAGAGAACCTCTTGAGTGCTTCCTTTATGGGTCCAAATAGGTCTAAGGGTGCCAGGTAAGGGATAGAGTGAAATAAGAAATGTTGTCCAGCTATGTACTGTGATTACTTGTTTGATCTTTAAATGGTTTTGAGGCCTTTTGAATTGTCCTGCTTCAAAAGTACATTACTCATTTTCAAATATGGCCTAATCACTCTGAGTTTTGACAATGTGATTATGTAGGAGATAAA